TCCAATTTGTGGGGAAGAGTTGGGCTCTTAGAGCTTGGCACTTCCCCGCAAACGTTTCTTCACCTTGAATAGTTGGGATTGTGATGTCCCTTCTTTTCCCTTTGTTGACTAGTTTCCAGATGGCACTTCCTTTGGCCTCCGTGATTTCTTTCTCCCTTTGTCCCGCCTTGGTTTTGCGGATTGCTGCGGTCCATTTCCTGCTGATTTTCCTGAAGGCTTCTCTGTCTTCGTCTTTTTGGGTGTTTTTGGCTTTCCTCTCTAGTATGTTGAGGGTTGACTTGAGTTTCTTCAGTTCTGGGGTCCACCATTTCTTAGATTTGAGATGTCCTTGTCTCCACGGGGTGACTTGGTCTATTAGGTTATCTATGTGTTCGAGGATGGAGTCGACTGATTGCTTTGTGTGGTTCTGGCTTTCCCATGCTTCGGGGGAAAATTGGAGGCCTGAGATGTTTTCTTCCAGTTTTCCCCAGTTCGTTCGATGCCATAGCCTTCTGGGTATGTGGGGGGGTTTCTCTACTCGTAGTTGTAGGATGGTTTTCCCATGATCGGAACCTGCTCCATATCGGTCGATGTTCCAGTGGGTATCGTGGTCCAGTATTGGTACTTTGACTAATGTCAGGTCAATAATGGTCGGTCTGTTGTTGTTCCTGGGGAAATGTGTGAATTCGCCTGGTTCGTTAAGTAGGGATAGCTTCTGTCGATTGATCCACTTTTTCAGTTTCTTGGATCCGGATTTGTCTGTTCTAATGGTATTGGTGTAGTCGTGGGATCTATGTCCATACCAGAGTTGGTGGTGGCAGTTGAAGTCTCCCATGACGAGGCAATTTTGGATGGTGGTTATTTGTCGGGAGATTTCTGCGAAGGGTCCGCTTCGCCCCGGTGAGTATATGTTAAGGATTTGTGTTTTTTGGCTTTGGATTTCCACCGTGACGGAGACGATGAAGTTATTATGTGTGTAATGGTGTTTTGGTTTTAGGTTGGCGTGTTTTCTGATATATGTTGCGGCTTTGGTGCCCTTATTGCTTGCCGTGAATAGATAGAAGAGGGGGGATTCCGGTGGGTGGCCGTCCTTGTTATTCCATGTTCTTGTAACAAAGGAAAGAGTATGTTATGGTCCTGTTCTGCTTCCTCCACTACTGACTTTGTTGTAAGCTCATTTTTCGCCCAGTTCAGTTGCTGTGCGATAGCCGTGGTCCTTTTGGTGTGGCTCATTGGTGTTATCCATGACGGCATCTTCTTGTGGGGGATCTTGTGCCGGGATGACAATGGGTATTGGTAGTGGGCTTGGGTTTGTGTCTGGTCCCAGTTTGTTTGTAATGCGGATTTTAGTGCGTTCTGGGCAGTTGGCGTCTGTTGCTTTGTGAGGGGCCTTGCAGTGGTAGCATCAGATGGGTGTATGGATGCATCTGGTGCCTCCTGAGCATTCGGAGCATGGGTGTTCCTTTGTTTGGTGGTTTTCTGCGCAATGTCCACATCTCCCGGTTTGGTGGGAGCATCTTCATGTCGGTGACCATATTCTAAGCATTTAGAGCATTGGGTTTCTGGGTTAGCTGGGAGGTAGTTGTCGATTTTGCATTGTCGGTCGAATAGGGTGAGGTATCTTAGTCCGAGGTTATCCTTTGTGTATTGTCCTGGGAGTGCGATGATCATTGATGAGTGTGTTTTCCCCGCCTGGCTTCCGGTCTGCTGAGCCATCTGGGGATTTGTGCCATTTCAAATGTGCTCCCGTAGTTGCTTCTGACTTCTGAGGCCATTACCTGTCCTGCTTCATAGCCATCTCTGATTGTTGTGGGGATTCCGTGTATGATAAATTTGGACCATCTGGAATTAACTCTGATGTCAACAAAGGGGACCTTAAGTTCTTTCAGGGCTGCTTCGATTTCTTGTTTGTATTCGAAGACTTTCGAGGCGGGTGTGGCGAATTTGGTTTCTAGGACTATGTTGTTTTTTGAAGTTTTCCTGGCGGCGATGAATTGGCAGTCCGGGTTTTCGAGTTTGGAGTTGATTCTTGTCCTGATGTCAGAGGGGGTGACTGGTGATTCCTTATTCGTTTCGATGACGATCTCTCTGTTGATTTTGGTGACTTCTGGTTTGAATAGGGGGTCTGCTTTAGGCTTGGGTTTCCTCTTGTTCGTGACGGTGGTGTATTCGGGGTTGGTGTTTCCTGCTGCGATGGATGCGTAGGATTTTGGTGCTGGTGGGGTTGGAATCTCTTTGCCTTTTCCTTTTGATTGTTGGGCATGGTTCGGGTTGTTGGGCATGGTTCGGGTTGTTGGCGTGGTTCGTGTTGTTGGCGGGTGTGGTGATAGGAGCGGTGGTGGCAGCGGCGACGGCGTCAATTGCGGATGCTCTTCCTTCGTTGACTGCTTGTTTGCTAGGTCTGTTGACGGAGAGGTTGGTGAGCTGTTGTTGGAGACGGTGGAGTTTTTCGGAGGTTTTGTCTTGGTTCTTTGTCATTTCAAACATTTGTTTGGCCAGGACGTCGACGGTGTGTTTAAGGGTTTCGTTTTGGGTGGATAGGACTTCAATGGTAGCTTTTAATCCTTGTTGATCTGTTCGGTTGTTTGGTTGAGGGGTTCAAGTGCTACAGTGAGGGCGTTTCTAATACCCAGGAGACGTAGTTTAGGTCGATTCTGGCGTGGGTTTCTTGGGGACGATGCTGGGGTGGATGTAATCGTATTTTGGTGCGTATGGCTCATTGTATTGGGTGTGTTCAGCGAAGATAGAAAAAGGTTCATTACCGAGTGGGTTTGTTCGATGGTGGTGGACTGGTTTGTTGGGTTGATTGGGTGTCAGGGAAGCGAGGGGGTGCCGGTGTTCCTGGTGGGCGGGCTCCTGCGAACCAGGAGCTCAAGAGGCTTGTTGGGACATCACTGATGTTCCAGTTCGGGTTGGGTTGGAAAAGACTTCTGATATAGTTCTCTTTCTTCCTGCGAATTTGGTGGGTTTGGTGGGGTTGGTGAGGCCAGGTTGTTGATTTCGCAACGGTCGCGAGGCTTAAGCGAGGGCTGAGGGGTAAGAGGTTCACAGCTCAGGGACTAGAGCGTGAATAACTTCGCGTACGAACAGATGTGCGATAAGATACCAATAGTTACGGAGTCTATTGACATACAGGATCGTGTTCGAGTAAAATTTTTATCGAAGTGCAGGCCAAAAGTTATTGTGTTCGAAAGTTTTGGTGTTGCGAAGGGTAGATACAAGAGGTTCCGTGAAGAGAAGAGGAAAGAAAGGAAAACATGAAAAGGCACGAGACAACACCCCTTATATATCCAACTCCTAGCCCATTGATGACTAACATCTTGCGTAACGGAAACCGAAAGAATATAACAGAAAACCCATTACAAATCATAGTCCAACTGCGCATTCCTTCTCTTCACAACCCAATCTATTACTTAGCCGAAATATAATATTGCCGTTACACCAGTACTGGACCATGACATCCGTTGGAACATCGACCGACATGGAGCAGAATCCGACCACGGGAAAACCATCCTACAACTACGAATAGAGAAGCCCCTCACACCTCCAGTAGACTATGGCACCGAACGAACTGGGAAAAATTGGAAGAGAACATCTCAGGCCTCCATTTCCCCCCCGAAGCATGGGAATGCCAGAACCACACAAAGCAATCCGGTCGACTTCATACTCGAACACATAGATACATCAGCAAGCTCGACTATTACCCAGGGCGCAGCCCTACGTCCTGGCGGGCATTCTGCGCCACGAGCGCCCAGCGCGTCCGGCACCGCCAGAGTACAACCTTCGCGCCAGGCTCCGCCGCAGTACCGTCCCACTCTCTGGGACCGCCAGGAGATATGGCTCACGTCCGGAAGGCATTCGCCAATGCTCTGGTCGCCTGGGCCGCCATGAGATTCCCTCCCCCTCCGGAGACGCTAGGATGGAGTGACTCCGCCCACAGCACCTAGGAACTTTTGCTTCTTTTGATTACGTCAGTAGTACACGCGAGCACTTCCCAATGCTCTCATAGTTTTCTTGAATGCTCTCACGGCACGACGAATGCTCTCACGGCACGGCGAATGCTCTCACGGCACCGCGAATGCTTCACGGCACCGCGAATGTTCCCGCGAATGCTCCCGCGAACGCTCCCGCGAACACTCCTGCGAGGGCTTCCGCGAGTGCTTCCAGAGCACTCACCAATGCTCACAGACCTGAGGCATTCGTCATACCCACTCAAGGTGAGGCAACCCTCATTGGGCTCCTTTGGATTGATACACCGTCCTCAAAGGATAGGAAGGCCGCACCAGTCCCTCAAAAGATATCTAATGTGGGTATCCTCAACGCCGCTGTACGGTCAGTCCGGGATACTGATACGAGCACTGTCCTGTATACTGGTGCGACTACCCAACCTTTGACGGATGTGTATGTTTCTGTCGATTCGTGAAAGGCATAATTAGCCTTGAGGTTGAGGCCATGGTACGGCTCGTCTGAAAAGCTCAATGTCCATGCATAAGCAGCAAACATGGACTGGCATTCACCTCCTGGAGCGAGCTTGCTGGATAGCCAGACTCAGATACTGAGCGGCCGAAACTTTACCTCCTTCTTCCAATCCGCATGCATAGCAGAACGACACGAATTTTGAATTAGAGAGTCCAATTGGGTCTAACGTTCCTAGAGCACTCAAGAATGCCCTCACGGCTTTACAAGTATTCAACTAAATTCATTCCACGTACGCAAGTCTATCCTAGTATTTACCAACCAATTACCAGTCTCCACCTCAAACAAATGGGCCATTCCCAATATACTCCGAATATTAACGACCCACATCCTCTTCCTCCTCCTCCTACAAACCTTCAGGAGCCCATGTGAGCTATCAGCGATACCACGATCCTTTGCCTCGAGTAGCTCCACTATACATAGTCTATGTGCTCGCCCCCCACTGTCCCGCAGCTTGAACAAAGCCTCGACACGTCCTGGTAAGCGTCCCCGAAACACTCCCCACTCCTCTGAGGACGCTACCGACACCCATACCCAATCCTTTCTTATTTTCCCTTTCCTAAAAGCCGCGTTTCCCGTACACCTGATATTGTGAACCTCGTACACCTCAGGTCTTTGGAAGATTGGTATCGGAACTGCAAACATGTGAACATCTCCACCCGGCGCTCTAAAATGCTCTCAGAGTTTCCGGCAAAGCTTTGAGAGCATCCCGCATCCTCTGCATACTCCTTTATCAGGCGATATAACGTGGTATGGCTTATTTGCAGTCCATCCGCAATATTGAAAACTCTTTCCGATTTCGTGGAGGGGTTGCAAAGACGCCTTAGAGGCAGTCGGCCTTCTACTATGGATCGTTCATTTGGTGTTTTTTTCCGGTCTTCAATTTTAAAAATCTCAAGTAACTCCTTCAGGTTATCTCGATGGCTCCAAAGGATGTCGTCAGTGCTCTCAGGACCTCCAACAATGTCTTTCAGATTCAGCATTCGAATCTCTAACGCCAACCGCCGCCCCCCATAGTCCTGTATCTGAGTTGCAGCATCGACCTTGTTGGATGCTCCGTATGCCTCTTTTATCTGACGTGCATGGGCGAGTTCGCTGATGTCGGTGAAGTACTGGGGAATGCTCCCAAAGCGCTCGACATGTTCCCGATAGTGCGTTAACACGTGCAATTTGATGAAGTTGAACTGAGACCTTTCCCGTATCTCGCGAATCTCCTCCAAATCTCCTCCAAATCTCGCTGAGCTCTCTGTGAGCCTGAGGTTTTCACAGCTTTTGTCCGATCTCTCGCATCCTTAACCGTCCTCTTGTACGCCCGGAATTCTAAAAAGATATCCTTGTGCTTATGGAAATCCTTGAGATAGCTCTCCATATAATTCAGTCTGCTCGTCGTATGACTCCCATACTGCGCCATTAAGTGGAAGTCGATTAAGCCTCGTACACATTTCAATGCCTTTGCGAAGTCACCCCTGACAGCCACCCCCGGGTTTCTCAAAGCAGCCGCGAGTGCTCCAAGAACGATCCGCCCCAGATGTCTCATCTCCTTCCCTTGCCATTGGGTTGTGGCACGATATGCCTTGTTCGGTACTGCCAGTCCAGGGTAAGGCGCAATCGAGGCCCAAGCCTTGTCAAATTCCTCCAATTGATTGTGCTTCTTCAAGAAAGCCTGAACCCACTCCATCATGTGCTTCAACATCCCTAGGTAGATATTGTGCAGAATGTCCGGTTTGTTGAGATCATATGGATTAACCCTCGGCATACCCCAGAAAGCATTGAAGAGTGTCTTTACTGATCTCGCGACAAGGTATTCCACCGGTCCCAGGTTTCCCGGGTTCTCCCTGAATAGCTTTACCCTCTCCCGGTAATCCTCGTGATTGCGCGTAGGGCTCCGGCGAGTGCTCCCAAGACTGTGGAATTCCACCTCGCATCTTGGACAAGAGCTAGTACTAATATTTTGTAAGTTTGAATGCTCAGGTTGATCAGCGATCCAACCCGACAACACCGGAAAGCATAGACGTTCGTACCCGTCGGCGCATGCGATTAGATCGCCTTCCTGAGAGCACTCCCGAATGCTCTGAAAGATCTCCCCAAGGGCGTGATGCAGCGCCATTTGACTCTGACGTCGTAAAGCGGAATTAGCGAGTGATTTCTTCCCGAGCTTAGGTGGGACTGGCAGTAGCCCTAGGAGAATTAACGAATGCCCGGTGGGCTTGCTCTGGACCGATGACTTGATGTTCCCGATGGTATGATAGATTGGCCAGGCTTTCTTGTCCCCACTAAAATTTGTCAAATGTGTGCCATCTGATGCGCATATAATTGGTACCACAGTCGACCCCTCCGGTAAGGTATCTGTCCAGAAAGCATTAGCGACTGCCTCTAGAGCACTTGTGAGGCTTACCAGACCTGCGTCTCCCACCACCAATCTCCCGTATGCATTTCCCCGTACATTCTCTCGCCAGATTCATTATGCTCTACCACTGGCGCGTACACCAATGACTCCCGAAAGGCCCGTTGGCCTAGAAGATATCGCACAATTACCATTGGATCCCGGTAATAGTAAGGGATTTTCTCTCCCCCAATATCCACCTCCGAATGATGCCAGCTCGCCTTTCCCAATATGTCATTCATTTCGTCCAACCTCTTTATAAAACCTCGCCCAGTCCTGTAGGAGCATTCGCCACTGCTTGACGGAGCGTGTAGAAAGAAACTGTCGATATTTCCTTGTGAGGCCTTCGACAGTATGAAATAACGTGCCATTCTAAACTCGTATGCTGAGTTGAATGGGTGCCACGGGTATCGGAGAAGGTTTTGTGAGCATTCGTCGTAGTCCTCCGAGCGGTAGAGACGCTCCCCAGCACCCTCGTAAATCGTTGTCGCTGCCTCATGCCTATTTGCATCTCCATCTGTCTCTTCCATCATAAAATATGATTCGGATTCCAGATCTGAATTATTATCGGGATCTTGGTCATGATAATTGATACTGTTGCTCTCCGAACTATCCGAGTCGTCATGGGCATCTGAATAGGAATCGTGAATGCCTTCCGGGCTGTCGTGAGTGTCATCGGGTGCCTCTTGATCGCGCTCCAGGAGTAAAAATTGGTTTCCCAGCCATTCATCTGCTTCAAATGGATGTGTAGTTCGAAGATGTTTATCGAAGTTCGCGGAGGAGCTGTACCGCTTCCTGCAAAAGGGGCAAGACGATTTCATTGAAGTCTCAGGATGCTAGCAAAGCACTCCTGAGTGCTCTAAAAATTTGGTTTCTGCCAAGGCCGAGGAGGCTCTTTCCTGCAGGTGCTGCTGCAGAGTGCTCGAATGATTTGATTTGTCAGCCAATGAGGCTCCTCTCACCTGCACCCCGGTCGGCAAGGCTGATTTTCTATACGAGTCTGATGTCATACATCACCAACCTAATACAAACATCAACACCAACACGAAGAAACACCCACCACCCCAATCAGGCGGCCAGTTATGCTAGATTCTATCGCCCTGAGCATCTGCACTCTCTCCCTGAGCACTCGCGGAGTCTCTTCAGATCGAGACAGTGTTCTCAGCGCCTAATTCAACACTAATATCGACTACGAGCTCAAAGAATACATTCTCTCCGAATCAGTTCCTAGAGGACAGGGTACCAACACCAACAAGAACACAAGCACCAAGCCCAACACCAGAATGTTATCGACGTCACCATTGGTACCGTCAGAGCATCCCCGAGTGCGCCTGGAGCATTTAGATCAACGTCATATATTGAAGCAAACATTGAGTACGAGCACCCTCGAGTGCTTCTAGAGCATTCGTGGGTGCTCTCGGAAGCGTGATAAGCTCAAGAAAAAAGCTGATCGTACTCGGTATAAGAGCACCCCTCCCTTCCTTCAAGTTCGTGAGAAGTTCCTAACCACCTTCAAGTTCTCCTCTACCTATCACTTCAAGTTTTCAATTGCTTTCAACATTACCTGTTGAAATCTCATCCTTCAAGTTCCTCCGTTTTCAGGCGATTTAACCTTTGCAATCTTTATAAATAAGATGGTATTTCTCTCTCCTAATCCAATTAATTTTAGAACCATACTCACCACAGTGATACATTAACATTATCAGACTCCAAACACCGCTCAGAGCACTCCCGGTAGCTCACAGAACACAAATCAACTTCCCAATAAGAAGCTCTTGCGTGACATAGACGACGATAACGAAAAGACACACCGAAAAACCAAGAAACACAAATCGTCCCGAAAACATAAGAAACACCGAACTTCCTCAGGTCGCAAATCGTCCCGCAAAACTGTCAAGCCTATCCCGGAGGAGATACCAGAAACACCCCTAACCAGTCGCCAGTGCTTTCCGGGTTCACCCCGATCAACAAGAGCCGAAAACAAAACCCTGTACCTCCACCAATCTGGACTGAAACCCGGACTCCGCCAAATACTAACCTAGCTCCATCAGACACTGAAGGGATCTTCCCGAGTAACTGGGGAGCAACCCTAACTGATTCCGACTCCTTTCCCGACTTTAGTTCCGAACCCTCTGAACCATACATAAGTGACGATCAAGACCCAGCAACAGGTCCAGCAACAGGCCCACTAGCAGCAGTCTCCACTGCTTCCTCAGCACGCAGCAGTGCTTCACCAGAGGCTCTTGTACGGACGACCGTAATTAGGGTTAGTGCTACCCCACCAGCACCTGCTAGTGCTCCACAAAAGAACGTTGCCCGGAAGACCTTAGTCCCAAGTCAAGTTCTCACTCGGTCCAAGTCTAGTGCAGTCCACTCAACAGGCACAGCAGCAACAGGCCCAGCAACAGGCCGCTCAACAGGGCCAGCAGGCTCTACTACTCCCTCATCAGCACCCGTCAGTGCTCCACCGAAGGTTCTTGCACCGGAGACCCCTACATTCAAGCCCCGAAGCCCCTCTCGGTTATTTTCTAGTGCAAGCCCATCCGAACTAATAGACCACCCCTCACCAGTACGACAGAGACGAATTAGACCCGAGCCATCGCCGATTGTCCAAGAGACATCCCCGAGTGTTCAAGAGACATCCCGAGTATTCAAGAGACATCCCCGAGCTCGACCGCATTCAAGATGACTCAAGCAAGCAAAGCGAAGATGACTTTAGGTCTACTCAACCTACCTAGAGTGTACACCAGCATCCGCAACAGCCTAAAGGCGGAAATGCAAAATGTGGGTTGGGTCAATAAAAGCACGTCCGGTATGGCTGCGTTCAATGCCCTATGCCTTTACTTGATGAACTTGCCCTCCCTCAACGGTTTTCTGCCAATTTGGACTGGGGGTGACTCCGATGCCCGTAGAGCACTGGCGAGTGCTCTACAGTGGCTCATCGCAGATGTTGGTATGAAGGATAGGTTATCAAGGGGACAGGGAGACCGTCAGTTCAAAGAGGCTGCCGGTGATAGTGATGATGATGATGACGGCGGTGGTCAGGCAGCCGGAAGACGCTCTCGCAAAGGGAAAGAGCGTGCAGTACCTCCGGAACTCGTGCGACCTTCCATAATGGTTATCGTGGTGGACCCCGATGCTCTAGGGGCATTCTTTATGCTCGTCCCACCACCTACTTATGACTGGAATGATCCCCTGAACGAACCTTCGTTCATCGGAATTTTGACCAAGATAACTTTCCCCGAGCTATGCAACTTGATCCTGAAGCACACCGCACCCGGCAGAGCAGTCAGGACTATCTGGGGGGCAATTGAGAATGTCCCCCCGGCAGCTGTTCCTCCCGTTCGGCCGGTGGAGGTACAAATTACCGATTCAGAGGAGCTCGAAGGTTGGTTGAAGAACAGCAATGCCAGGCCTCGGAGGATATTGGCGGTCCTCCACAGAGCAGGCGCGGGTGCTAACCTGGGTGGTGCGGAATCCCCCCGTTGAACCCGGCTTTCCCTCACGTTGAGGAAGATGATTATAGCATGATCGATATTCCTGCAGAGGATTCGGATTACGAGGAGGGAAAGCACCGGATAAATGCCAAAGGACTGAGGGTATATATGCCTAGAACTGATGCCAGTAATCAAAGGCTAATTCAGACTCTTGTTAGGCGTCGCGATAGACAGCAGGATGCTATCGACGATTTAGACCCCAAATACCTTAGGAAGTATCCTTTGGGTGTCGGGGTTGCTGACCCAAACTTCTTACAGGGGACGATCTGGACACCTGCCGGGATAGCAGCCAAGAGAGCTGCTGACGCACTCGCGGCTGCTGGTGCTGGAGGTGGTGGTGGTGGTGGTGGTGGTGGAGGTGGTGGTGGAGGTGGTGGTGGTGGAGGTGGTGGTGGTGGAGGTGGTGGTGGTGGTGGTGGTGGTGGTGGTGGTGGTGGTGGTGGTGGTGGTGGTGGTGGTGGTGGTCTAGGACCTCCACCGCCTCCGGGCGGACCTCCTCCTCCTCCGGGCGGCGGTGGTGGTGGAGGACCAGCTGGAGGCGGTGGTGGTGGTGGTGGTGGTGGTGATGGTGGTGATGGTGGTGGTGGTGATGGTGGTGATGGTGGTGGGCATCATTAGTTCCCTTTGGTATAATCTCTAACTTCCCTTCCTGCGGAATTGTCACTAACCTTTTAATAGTTGTTAGGATTACTCCCTGAGCACTCGCGATAGCTATTGGGGTGCGGTACGATTTGGTGTTTTGGATTTCCCTTTGTCTTGCGAGAGTATATCAATGGATGGGTTATATCGGATAGGATTAGATTAGATTAGATTAGATTAGATTATTCCAGGTAGTAATTGCATTGCTTTTATTTCAAAGTCGAATCAAACTCCTAGATTGCTCTCAGAGCACTCGGTACCGCTTCAGAAAGTGCAGTAAAACGAGTGATGATAAATGATGCGGTTGAGTGCAGAAATTGTGGTAACATAGGATGATCCCTGCCGTAAGAGGATTAGCGGTGCAAATTTTTCTTGATTAGCGGCGCAAATTTTCTCGCCAAGAATTGATTTCTAATCGAGAATATCGCGAGTGCTCCTAGAGCACTGCGGATATTCCTGCCAGTCATCAGAATGGCTCCCACCAAGCGCTCCTCCGGTTCAGCACCTCTTGCCCCAAAGCGCCCACGACTCCCAAAACGACCTGAAGAACATGAAGATTTACTGACTGACGAGTCTGAAATATCTTACCGAACATTGACTCCACTGCCAGCCCGCACTCGGAGTAGTCAATCGACCACCGCCGCTCAAATAACTCGGAAAGGTCTTCTCCGTTCCTCCGAAACCCCCACTGGGAGGAGCAGTCCTAGGAGGGTAGAATTTCATCTCCCCGAGGATCATACTGATAATTTTGAAGCGCAGGAGGAGCCTGAGGCAATTGAGGCGCCAGAGGCAATTGAGGCGCCAGATGTGGAAGAAATAGTTGATACTAGCCACTCAGACTATGATGATGCTCCGGAGAATGACCACGAGAGCTCTGAGGAGGATGAGGATGAACCTCAAGCCCCCCCCCATCTTACACCCAGAAGTCTCAGACTGTCGGAAAGAGACCTCATACAGTTCAGCCGACTACTGCCAGAGCACTGGGCAATGCTCGGAGGAAACCAACTGGCGCGGTAGCGGAGGTCATTGCTTCTTCCAACGTGTTGGTGGACGTGGTACAGGTTCGACTCTATCTCGCTCATTGATGCTTTTTAACATGTAAGTATTAGTGGCTAACGATTCAGAGGGGAACTCGACCGGGCGCGAAAGTAATACGTAAACAAGGTCAAGGGAGAGCAGCACCCACTTCAGCACCCAGCCAGAATGCATCCCAGAGAGCACTCCCGGCATCCCAGAGAGCACCCCCAACACCCTCACAGTCTAGGCCCTCTGCACCTGTTTATGCTCATGAGTATACCTCTTCTACGCGCCATATCGATTTTTCCTCGATGCGCTCTCGATACGGGGAGTCGTCCCCCACTTACCGGACATATCGTTCTTCACCGCCTAGCGAGGTAATTGGCGAGAACTCTGTGAGCAGTCGTCAGATTCCTTCAAGCCAACTTCACGGTCAAGGTAGATCGCGAAGAGTCTACGAAATCGAGTACCTTCCCTCATCTAGGGAGGAGGACGAGAGTACTCCGATGCCGGAAAGTGAGGGTATTTTGATTCCGGGAAGCGAGGTTAGTATTCCGGAGGACACTCACGACGTCTTTGAGAACACTGGCGACATTCCTTCGAGCCAATTGACTCAGAGGTCTGTGGTCCCTAACTCTAGGAGTGCAAATGTGCTGTCAGTGCAGGCTCAGAGGATTGAGAAGGAGTGTAGCGTGTTAATCGGGGAGCATACTCTTCTACATGAGCCCTTTCCACCTGCAGCAAGACTTTCGGTACTGGTAGTGAGCATGTGGGCAACTGCTAGTCGCCGAGTGGGGTGTAGAGTAGACCTTGATGAGGTCGTTATTAAACAGGTGAGTGCCCCCAAAAGGATTACGAGTGCTCTGGAAGCATAATTGAGAATGATAGGTCAGAAGTCTGCACTCCCGTGTCCGTTCCCACTTGATGCACGAGGTGAAAGGGCGCCTGGCGGACTCTACGATATACGGGCTTGGAAATTTTGTGGGGCCTGAGGCGAGGGCGGCTCAAGTGGAATACCTTTTGAAGAATGATCGTTTCTTGAGCCCCCAACAGCATTACGAGGTATGATGCCAGTGGATGCCCAGAGAGCACTCGGGATAGCCGGTAACAGATTCTAGACCTACCGACTGCGCTTCCTGGCTCCGGAAATTATCGATATATTGTATTTTAAATACTTCGATGGGGTAAGAATGCGAGGGGTTAGGGATCCCGAATTTCTAGAGCGGATAACCCCTACCCTTATTTGCCTGATATCGACGGCGATCTGGCACGGCATTCGGGCGTGGTCAACAGGGAGTTACGTGAAGCCTGATAATTTTCAGTCGCAGAATGAGAGTGTTGTGAGTAAGTATGGCCCGATGCCCTCATTGATATGGCGAGTGCCTTGGGAGCAATGACGGATGCTCCTAGGGCTATACGAGATTGCCAAGCTGACATCCAAACACGAGTAGAAACGTTCAACAGGATGAGCAACACTTGGAAGGGGAGAAGTAAACAGAACCAGGAGGCAATCTTGGAGGTAATCAAAGATAACCTTCGAGAAAAGGTATGATACTTCTAGATGCCGGTAATGCGAGTGGTATTCTAAATGCTAACCCTAATAGATACGAGATAAAAAAGGGGTAACGATTGAGATTATACCGGGGGAGGGTTTTAGCGAGGACGATAAAGCTCTGGCTGCGGATCTTGCCGCATTCCGAGATGCTCGGAGAACACCCACGAGTGCTCCAGGAGGTCGGGTTGATTCCGACAGCGCCCAGGACGAAGTGATTAATGCCCGACTTCGCGGCATTGACACCGAAGAGGAGGGGGAGGAGGAAGAAGAAGAGCCGGAATTACCTGTAGCAGGGGATTACGAAGGGGGGGGGAGGAAGATGTGTAGAACAATCACGAGTGCTATGGGAGATAGTGGGGGATTTCTTCTGATTCGTATATTGTATTAGGGTTAGTTAGGGTGTGAAATGGCGTATTGTATTTAGTTTTAGGCGGAGGATCACGGTGTTGAATACACCAATTCTCAAAGTGTAGTCGCGAGTGCTCTGGAGACAGTAGAGATCGTCGTGCGAGTGATGTTTTTGTAATCTCATGGGGGAATTGTGAATACCAGAGGCCGGAACGGCGGAGAGGTGTATGCCTAGAGAGAACGGGGCGCCGACATGTAGGAATCGGTACGTCGGGCATGAGCCAGATTTCAAAGCACTCCATCCGGCAACGTCAGGGGGAGTCAGGGCAATTATTCTATCCCCAGAGCCCGCTGGAGCAGTAAAGAGTGCTCCAGAAGCAGTCAGGATATCCAACCGTGCAACTGGCATTCTCTAGCGGGTAGAGTGACGTCCTAGTTACACCGGGCGCTATTATTTAGTGCCGGGGCCCGTTGTGCGGACTAGTGTGCGCTGGGGCGGAATAATGTGCGCCGGACCTCGCCAGGAGCACTGGCGGTATCTCTGGAGAGGTAGTTTACCTACCAAGCGCCCTGAGCGCCCTGAGCGCCCCGGGCGTCTGGCGAAGGCTACAGGTTTGCTGATGTAACCTGATAGATCAAGTAACCCCATGGAGCCAAGGACACTTTAAATCCAAGAAATGGTGGACTCCAGAGCTGAAAGAAATTAAATCAACCCTCAACACACCAGAAAGGAAAGCCAGGAACACTCAAAAGGATGAAGACAGGGAATCCTTCAGGAAAATCAGCAGGAAATGGACGGCAGCAATCCGAAAAGCCAAGGCGGAACAAAGAGGAAAAGAACTCACAGAGGCCAAGGGAAGTGCCATCTGGAAACTAATCAACACGGGGAAAAGAAGGGACACTACAATCCCAACTATACAAGGTGAAGAAACATTTGCAGGGAAGTGCCAAGCTCTAAGAGCCCAACTCTTCCCCACAAATTGGATGTCCCCCAACAACCCTCCACTCCAAATCAGACTCCCTTCTTTTGACCTTAGTGACGATTTTCAGGAGGGAACAACAGAAGAAATTACATCCGCAATCAAATCATGCCCAACACACTCGGCCACTGGCCCTGATAACATCCCATACCCATTCATACAGGCAACAATCAAGGCAAACACCCAATTCTTCCAAGACATGTTCTCAGCCATGCTCCGACATGGAGTTCAACCGGATCGATGGAAAGCGGCGAAATGCATACCAATCCCGAAAGCAGGAAAATCCGACTACTTGTCGGCCAAAGCCTACCGACCCATCTCCCTGTTACAATGCTTCAGCAAAGTACTGGGAAAAATAGTGGCAACAAGACTATGCGCAGCCGGATCTATCCTGGAGACCCTCAGCAAAGACCAGTTGGGAGGAAGACCAACAATTTCAGCGATTGATGCCCTACTACGGACTCTTACGCCTATCCAACAAAACCTCCTGATCAAACGGACTACAGGAACCACCCCAGACAGACCAGCCCTCCTCACAAACGACATACAGGGAGCCTTTAACTGCGTCGACCACCTCTTACTCGCAGAAATCATGACCCAACAAAAATTCCCAACATACCTAACCACCTGGTGCAAGGAATTCAACACCAACCGAACACTCCAATTCCAATTCAACCACGAACTGGACCCACCACAACCATATACCTCAGGGCTGCCCCAAGAATCCCCCCTATCTCCAGTATTATTCATGATATATGCTGGAGTAATAACAGATCCCATCAACTCACATAAAGAAACCAACACCACATACATCGATGATGACGCACTCGTACAATTCGCGAAGTCCCCCCTCTACATTACCAAAAGACTTAATGAAAGAATGGCTGAAAGAGTCAAGAAAGCAGCACCCCTCAACATCAAATACGAACCACAGAAATCTGACTTGGTCTTCTTCAAACCCACAACGTCGAGCACCCCAACCCCCAAAAACTCCGTAATAATTGCAGAAGAAGAAATCCACCCCAAAGATAGACTCAAATATGTTGGAGTCTGGTTGGACTCAAACATCTCCTTCCGACCTCACATCGAAGAAACCATCGCCAAAGGCCTTAAAGCCCTAAGCAGAATCAAAAACATCGCACACCTCCCCAGGACAACAGTAAAATCCATTCATCACCTCATTGTCCAAGGCTTCCTCCCCACCATTCTATGGGGATCAGAGGCATGGTGGACGGGAGCAGACCACATCCTCCGATCACTATCCCCACTCTATAATGATGCTGCCAGAATAGTAACGGGCCTACCCCGCTGGACAAAAACTGAAAGACTGCTGAAAGAGGCAGCACTCCCCCCACTCGAACTCCTCCTCAACCACAAATCACGAAAATATGGGACACGCATCCTCTGTCATCCCGCCGACCACCCACTCAATGAAGAACTCATACAACTCCTCCCCACCAGAATAAAAAATATAAAAGGCACAGGCCTACACCTGATTGCATCACTCATACTACCCTTCCAAGAACCAGGCAACCGCAGAGAGCGATGGATCCAAAACGACACCCTCACCAAACGCATGCTGGAAGAATGGAATTCCACCCCATGCACGAACTACTATCAGTCAGGAACCCTTAAAATCCATCCCAAACGAGCAAAACTTCCCCGATCCAAAGAGAAACTTATACATCGCATACGATGCCAAGTCACCAGAATAGACAGACACGCAGCATTCACGGAACCCGAACCCTGCCAATGTGGGTCGGAACAATCCTACAAACATACAATGATCGACTGCCCGCGATGGACACAAATACGAAGGCCATTCATGGATAAGATCCCAGGACCGTCCACCTGGGAAAATTGGTTATTCACCAACCTCAACGTAGACCTGGTTCTACAATTCGCAGCAAAAACCAACCTACTTGACTGGTATGAAATGGACGAGGAGGACCTGGAGGAATAATGATCGGTTTCTTTGCTTTCTCTTTTCTTTTCTGTACCTTCCTACGTTACTTTTCATTTGCTTTTCGTTCTCGTTTTCGTTTTCTTTTTCTGTTTTTCCTATGTTTATGGCGGAGGATCCGGCGTGCAATAAGTCCTGTACTTCAAAGCAATATAAAATCCAAATTCTGTATTTACCACACGAATACTACTTTTGTTCCACGTCTCGTCATGGGGTTCAACTGATCTATCATACCAGGTAGAGCCGCCCCATAGCCCATAGTCTCGAATACCTCTTGCTACGTCTTCCCCTCGGTTGTATTCCTTGGCACTATGGTCCCTACGTCTATAGACCTCCGTTACATATATCTGGCAGGCTATGAATACGAGTTTGGGAAAAGCTAGACTGAAGATGGCCCAGTGGTATGATGCACATGCCCTGGCACTGCCCGAAATCAAGCCTGTAAACGAGGTTATGCTAGACCGGCGCTATGTGCAAACAAAACGGCCACCGGGAAAATTGGATCAGAAAAAGATGGGACCCTTCAAGGTCTTAGAAGCTATTGGTACCCGTGCCTACAAGCTCTCCCTTCCCTTGCAGATGGGAATCCACCCGGTCTTCCATGTCTCTCTCCTAGAACTCTATAGAGTGCCGGTAGACCCTGAGAGAAGAGTTCCTCCACCGGAACCTGAGGAAATTGCCGGAGAACACAACTGGATCGTCCGGGAAGTAGCTGATAGCCGGGTCACTAAGAAGAGGAGAAGGGTAGAATACCTGTTGCTGTGGGAAGTATATGAAAATGAGGACGCGACATGGGAACCCTGGGAACATCTCAGAAAGAGTGCGGAAGAAGCCCTCCGGAATTTTCACATGAGGTATCCTAACAAGCCAAGAGACAGAAGGACTCTGGGGCAGTAGCATTCCTTCGATTTTGTCCCTTTCCACACTAAAGGAGTTTCTTTGTCGCATAGTATTGTGTAGAATAAACGTTACAGATTATAGATCTCAGAGACCAAGATCCTGAAAGACGGGAGTAGTGTAACGGAGCCATTTCAACTGTCTGGTGTATGAGTACATACAGGGCCCGGTTACATGCTGAGAGTTATTGATAGAAGCCAGTTGCACAGTGACATGCAAGTAGTGGCAGTGTGGTTAGCTACCAGCTGTCAGGATAACTACATTCTGAGCACTAGGAAGAAGATCTATTTATGGGAGTAATGACTGACGAGTCCGACCCTCGCCAATAATTAGAAGGCCAGAAAGAGTGAGGCTCTGAGTGTTCAGCGATCCTCTACATCCGTTGAGCATGACAAGTCCGCCGATAGAGGCAGGGACTATGCCTGGGAAAGTCTACAATAAGCGACGAGCTCTACAGCAACGAGTAAGCTTACATTTGATCGGCAGCTCATTCACGCAGGTCCGGGTTGTGCGACAACCAAGACTGCAGGTGTTACAAAGGCTTTGACTAAGGGTGATTGCCTCGGAACCGGAAGCACCCGCTAATGCTTAGAGAGAAGCGGGGTAGTGGTGGTATTGCCGCCCTTCCACTAGAAGGCAGCACCGGAACTTAGTAAGGAAGTAGGAGCAGGGGAACGGAATCCTTTGCAGTATAAGTACTCAGGATCCTCCCTGCTCAACTGTCCGATTTCCCCAGTTTTCCTCATACCTATTAAGGATTTTCTACTCGGTAGCAGAGCGCTTAAAGATTATTGAGTTCTTAGCGATAAATCTTTGAATAATCTAAGCCTGATTTCTATCTTTCACGGCTACATCTTTCTATCGGATTCTAGCGATACGTGGACAGACTGTCCCCGTTACACTTGGGGAGATTCCGGAAAGGCCTGGTCTTTGACTGCAGGTGCTTCTTCTGCAGGTGCTTCTTCGACCGGAGTGGATGCTTCGGCTGGAGGGTTGACGAAGGCCAGAGGGGGTGCTATTGGGGTTGGGGTGGATTCACTGATGCGTGGATGTTTGCATTCTCGTGAGTCTTCGACAGAGGAATACCAAGCTCCAGGGCAATCGGGGAATTCTTCTAAAGGTCGAGTCTGTGTATAAATATGTGAATGGTATGTATTTGGAGTTAGAAAGGTCAACGTACCATTTTATATATCCGTGGGATGTATTCAAGTGAACGGTAGTTGAAATCCAGACCCTAGCTTAACTTGTGGGCTTGGGGTAGTATCAAGAGTGCGAATTGCCTACTAGAAAGCCCCGCGAGCATGTAGGGGGGTGCCTATATATTCTCCTAGATGAGGATCCTATACTACATCATATATCGAGTTGGTATTGTTTGCTGAAGTTGGGTCATGCTATATCACTCGGGTTGGTGGTTCGTGCCTTTTCAAAGGCGTAACAAATACATTTATGAGCTCAATACGCTTAACCCCCATGCACTAGGTCAGTTTTTGGTTTAGCGTATGAAGAGCTATTTGCCATGACCAAGATGACATATCATTTGTACCAAGTTATTGGAGCTTTTTGGATGGTCTTAGGAGCCCACCCGACACCTTCGCGTTACCCGTAACATCAAATATCAATCAACAATGAGATCACGATGCCCTTTCTGAATAAAGACCTACGCAAGTCCTGGTAGTTTCGATCGACATCTTTGAAGAGTCCACGCAGAGAATGCAGTTGAATGGTACAACAATTAGCGTACACGCCGTGCTGAGGATTTGGTGAGCCTTGTAGAAGGCCCGAGAGGACTATACGGAAACGAATTGTTGAATGTTAGAACCTTTTACTTGGGTCCCACGAGCGTAGATCAAAGCGAGTCTGATAATGAATCAAACGATGGAACAGACTCGTTGACAGAACGAGACGGCATGTTCAGACCAGCAACTACCATGTATGAGGGTGGAGGGGAGCAACCTTTCCCCTCCACAGGATATTCCGAGAGCTCAGAGAGCCTTCTGTCCAACCTATGGCAATCTTTCAAATCAGCAAAGGAGTTTGAATTATCACATTGTTTCCTGCGATCCCACGTATCGCAGGGTCAAATAGACGATTTTTTTCGAGTGGCAGGCGTAGGAAAATGCTCCTACCACAATGGAAAAGGCTTTACACGCCATCTTGATGAGATGGTTTCCAAGGACGGTTTAGGAAGAGAAACTTGGATGCATTCAGAGGTCGAGTTGGGGGGCGCGAAGATTGCATACTATTACCGGTACCCTATGAGTGTAGTGCGATTCCTTCTTGGGCAAGGTGCATTCAGAGAATCTTTGGTGTATGGCCCAAGGATGTAGTACAATGCGCTAGGCGAGCAAATGTACAGTGAAATGCATACGGCAGACTGGTGGTGGGAGATGCAGGTTTGTAAAGCCCTCGTGAATGCTTCCTGAGCCTTTTCTAACTGAGGTTAAGAATACTCTGCCAGAGGGATCAACAGTGGTACCAGTGATTTGCGCATCAGATGTAACGCACCTAATCTCAGGGGTCGGTGCTAGGGGGTGTTCCGCAGGGTACGATATGCGACAGTAGAAGCTGTCGAATTAGTCAAGCGAGGTCAAGCGAGGTACGGAGGTCTTCGTGGAGAAGAGAAGTAACAGCGTATGTATTGGTAACCAGCGTAGATATATATATATATAAGTGGTTCGACCTGGTATAATATGCCAGGTACGAACAAGTATATAGTAAGTTGATACAGAAGACGTTGCGTAAGGAAAAGAAGAAGAGAAAGGAAAACAGGAACGAAGCGAGGGAGAGCCCCCTTATTATACCCAAGAAAATCCTGCGATGACTAATCCCAATGACTCACGCCGCGCAACCGAACAGAACCCCAAAGAACACGATAGAAACCTCCTGACTAATCCAACTCCGCGTAACCCAATTACTCCACCAACCGATCCGTGAAAGTAGCCCCCCCTTCAAGCGTGAGCTCCTGCGAACCTGGGTTTTAACCTCCGCCTTGAGTGGTCCCGGTTTCCCAGGGTATTGTACATGGAAGACATCGACTGCGGCGGTGTCGTTATGGTAGGCGGCGGGTTCCCAGGTGGGGTCGGTGTATCCTGTCCATTTAACGAAGTATTGCAGGCCGTTATTCCGTGTTTCTCGCGAGTCCAGAATCTCCTCAACCTCGTATTCTTCCTCCTGTTCGACGATAACAGGCGGCGGGGGTGGTTGTACCTGACCCGGTACGGGATCCTGTGCGGCGGGGTCCAATAGCGACACATGGAAGACAGGGTGCATCTTCATACTCCGGGGGAGGTCGACTCGGTAGGCATATGGGGAGATAACTGCCTTGATAGGGAATGGTCCGAGTTTCTTCCAGTCGAGTTTCCTCGAGTTGCGGGTGGTGCGGATATTTTTTGCTGAAACAAAGATCATATCGCCGATATTATATTGGGGCGCGGGGGTTCGTTTCGCGTTGGTGGTTTGCTCTTGTTGGTCTTGTGCCGTTCGGATGTTGGTGCGTAGGTATTCGTGTAGCTCCAACATCTTCCCGGCGAAGTCCCTGGCATCGAGGCTGGGCGGTGTCTTATCGGATGGGTTGATCGTCACCGTGAACCGAGGGTGGAAGCCGAAGTTTGCGAAGAAAGGTGTAGCTTTTGTGGAGGCGGAGACCTGGTTGTTGGCAGAGAATTCGGCCATGGGGAGCCATTTGACCCAGTCATCCTGTTGGTAGGACACGTAGCCTCGTAGGTATTGTTCCATCACAGCGTTGAGCCTTTCGGTTTGGCCGTCTGTTTCCGGGTGGAAGGCGGTGGACATTCTTGCTTCGATACCGAGATGTTTGCACAACTCTTTCCAGAACTTGGCAGTGAACTGTGTGCCACGGTCCGAGGTGATATGTGTAGGGAGACCGTGGAGTTTCCAGACGTTTCGCAGGTATAGTTGAGCGACATCTTCGGCGTTAACGGTTGTATTGCAGGGTAGGAGGTGTCGCATCTTTGTTAGTCGGTCCACGATTACCATGATTGCATCATGACCCTCGCTCTCCGGTAGTCCCGTAACGAAATCCATTGATACTTCCTGCCAGGGTTGTTCAGGTATTGGTAGGGGCCGGAGTACACCGAGTTTTCCGTGGGTGCTTGGTTTACTTCGCCGACAGGTGTGGCAGTTCCGTACGTAGCGTCCAATATAGTTCCTCATGCGGGGCCAGTAGTAGTCTCTGCTTATGAGTTCGAAGGTTTTTTCGCCTCCAGGGTGGCCGGCAGAGGGAGCATCGTGGTACAGTTTCAGGATTTTGAGTTTCAAGGGGTCGTAGTCAGGGACGTAGAGGTTTCCCCGATAGAGCAGTCGCCCTTCGCTCTCCGTGCATTCGGCTATTGAGATCTCCATCGATTGTTGTTTGCCTTTATTGCGCATCTCTAGTATCTTTTGCAGGAATGGGTCAGCTTTGTATCCTTCGTCAAATAATCTCCCCAGTGAGGCATTCTTTTCAGCGGGTTCATTTGATAAAGAACCCGCCAACAAACTTAGCTTAGTCTCCAAATTCTCCCTCTTCAAGACAGTCTGGCTCTGGTGTAAATGTCTTTTATCTCCCTTTCCAGGGAGATCTCCTGATCTCCTTGTCAATGCGTCCGGCTTCCCGCCTTGCTTCCCTGGCCTGTACTTGATGACGAAGTTGAATCTTGAGAGATATTCTGCCCAGCGTGCTTGTCTCCGGTTGAGTTGTTTGGTGCTCATGAAGTATTCAAGGTTCTTATGGTCGGATATGACGGCGATCGGGTGTGCGGCTCCTTCCAGTTCCGGGCGCCATTCCTCGAAGGCTCGGATTATTGCCAATAGCTCCTTGTAGTAAATCTCGTAATTACATTCGGCGGGGGAGTGCCTCTTGGAGAAGTAAGCGACAGGTCGGAGGGTGTTGTTATCATCGTATTGGGACAGTATGCCGGCGGAAACATAGTCTGAAGCGTCAGTTTCCACAATGATTTCCTTTTCAGGGTCAAAGTGGGCGAGGATGGGGGCGGTAGTGA